ATAAAGTATATATATTCTTGATCAGGATCAACAGCCGAGTCGATCTAGCCATGTCCGTCTGTCCGTCTGTCCGTCTGTCCGTCTGTCCGTCTGTCCTTCTGTCCGTCTGTCCGTCTGTCCGTTTCTACGCAAACTAGTCTCTCAGTTTTGAAGCTATCTGAATGCAATTTTGTAGTTAGCCTTCTATATGCTCTCACTCGTATATATGTCGGAACGGGCCAGATCGGACGACTATATCATATAGCTGCCATAGAAATGATGGGATAATTTTTACAAAAAATTTATAACATTTTCAGTTTTCAACAATTTGATTAAAGTTTATTATATTCTACAATTTTGTGTAAAATTTTATGAAAATCGGACTACTATATCATATAGCTCCCGTAAGATCGATTGAGAAATTAATACAATTAAATTTATAACTTTTTCAGTTTTCAACTGATTTTCATCAAATTTGAGGTATAGCCATTTTATATTAGTCTTAAACTTTTGATAAAATTTCATGAAAATCAGACGACTATGTATATCATATAGGTGCCATACAAACGATCGTTTGATGTTGAGGAAAAATGCAAATCTGGGAATATAGTTGAATGAAATGAAAGCAGGTATTACTTCATTGTTTTTAACACAAATAAATATAATTTATATCGTATGGATTCCTAGTCAAAGAAGTTCTATCTGCAAGGGTATACAAACTTCGGCGTGTCGAAGTTAGCTTCCTTTCTTGTTTTGGATAAGAATAACTTAACATTAATATTAATATTATTTTACTTTATCAAATTTATAAACAAACACCACTTTTTGTCACCGTGTGACAGGGATCTAAGTTCCCCAACCGCAGGGCTAATCAGCAGCCATACACACTCAAACCCCATCGATGGCGGCTTGGTTGTGGTGTAAATTAAAAAAACGGCCTGGAGCAAATGGAAATTAAATTGCCTGCAGTTAAAAAACACTTTGGCCAGGCACCCATTCACTTGGGCTGTGTCATAAAAGTCAGTTCCCGTGCGACACGCCCACTGCCCCTGGGAAAGGCAATACCCAAACCAAAGCCAAAACCCAAACCAAAACCAAAACCAGTTTACCAGTAACTCCACTCCGCGGCATTTGCATACTTTTAAGCGCAGATGAACAGAAATCACTCATACGCACGGGGGGTTGCTCTGTTGGGGCGGAGCCAAAGCCCTGGGCTTTTCCCTGCCTGCCTGCCTGCCTGCTCCAGCTGTCTGATTTTCTTGATCCTGTCGCTCCTTGTGGCATAATAACCGTATTTGCATTGTGTTTTAAACGTATTTGAACACGGTTTCTAGAGAGTTGGGATTGGATACAAAAAGGGGGGCAATCCGGTGCTTACCAAATGAGCAGGCAATTTATTTACGGTCAAATTGCGAGAGGTTAGACAAGGCAAACACAAAGCCAAGCAGGTCGCAGGCGCAATGGAAACTCCATGGTGGGCGTAAAAATGTGATAAATATGAAATGTGATTATGGCGGCTATTATGTGGCACCCCGGCAGGAGGAAGAGAATGATGATGGGGCTTATTATGAAGTTGATTTCGCCTTTGGTTGCCTTGGGCGTCGTTTTGAGTGAGTGGCTTCTGTGTCCTTTGCCGTTCTATCCTGGCTGTTCTGCGGCCTCTTCTTGAATGAGAAAATGAGGAAATGTGATTTTGACGATGTGTTGGCTTTACTATGGCTGTGAGTTCAAGCTCGTGTGAGCTCTGCGATTTTCCTGTTTGTTTTTTCCCGGGCGCCCGGAAGTTGTAATTGTTTTTTAAAGGAAACTGAAATTGCTCATTGGGGAAATGCATAAAATAAATCAAGGACAATGACTGTAATTGAGAAGTCTGGGAAGGAGCTAGGAAATGGGAATAAATGTCTCAAGATATATGTCTGAATAGCAGTAGGAAGAAGGTTTTTGTTACTAAGAGAATATTTTTTATAATTTATATTCCTCCACTTAATAGACTCTGACTTTTAATCCACTAAAATGGCTTCATTAAAACCCATGTACTTCCCTAACATACTTCAAGGTATTTTCTACCTTTGCTATATATCTCCTTACCACCAATTTGCTTACATTAAAATTCAAGAGCAATTGTTTTCACACCACCAACTTTAGTCCTGGGAAAGGAGCTGCCGCCCCAATGAATGTCTTTATCAAGTGGCAGGCAGCGAACACAAAGCCATAAAATGCTAATCCCATCATGGGAACAATAGCACAGCGGATCGGAGCATAGCGTTTGCCGTTTAGTGAGATTTTTGCCATCGCCGACATCAATTGATACATCAGTCGATAAGGCAGCAAGACATCCTGTGAGAATTTCGCTTGCTTCCGTGACTTGTATGGCACGGGGCTAACAGGATTTTGGCCACGCTAAATCAACGCGATTCGATGTGGCTCATTTGAGTGCAGCTAAGGGAGCAGCCACCACCCAAGGAATTCGTTGCGCTTTGTTGGAATTTGCCATGCTACAAATTCGTGGCTCATGGGAACTGATTCCTGCGAGGGTTGACTGCCGGCGCGAGTGTGGAAATATTGAAATTCCGAAATTCATTCTTGCTCCGAACACTTGATGATAGGCCTTAGTCCTTGTTACCATCCCAGTTCCCAGGTCATTAGCGTCGGCATCGCTGTTTTTGTGGCCGCATCTAATTGCTGCAGGCGACCAAACGCATCCTGGCAGGATGCTGGATTCACTGCGCTAACAAGTTGAACATAACATATTCTCTGGACTCTGCTCATTTGGCGTATGTTCTGCTCCTGTTCGCGGATTTCTGCTGCTGGTTTTTCTAAGCCTGGGAACCTATGTTTTTTGGCTACTCTACTCAGGGACTCCATATGTTGCCTCTAAAGAACTCTTTTTTTATAGTTTTTGTTTAAATTGAAGAGATTTTACGAATCAGATATAAAAATGGGAAAATAGTTTTGATAATTCTCTAATATCATCTATCATAGAGTAATTTTTAGGCTGTGATTAATGAGCTTTATACAAATAAAGTCATTAAACTACTACTAGAGGCTGATGTTATTCAATTATGTAACAAGTCACTAGTAGTTTGGAAGTCACGCTGAAATAATGAAGTTATTTTATTTAACATTGTGGATTCTGCTTCCACAGGTAACTATATAGTTTCCTTTCTTTCACTAAGTTTTGAGTACACCTGTATTTCAGATCTGCTTATTTGAATACACCATGAAAGCCACAAATATTGTGTGCCAGCCTAATGAAAAGTATGTAAATGATTCCAAGTGCTCCATTAAGGCAGTGAGTTGGGTAAAGTCCACTGTTCAGATGGACTGTTACCTAAGAGTGCCGTTTACAAATCCGACTGTAAGATATATATATAAAAATAAATATATATATATACAAGTGAGTAGAATTTTAATAAATCCCTTGCAGATACATTTCGAAATGTTCAGAAAGGATTATACGAATCAGTATCAACCGTTTTTGGTAAACGTTACATTCGCATTTTGCGATGTAATATCCAGAAGAAACTTTCTCCCCTACGGCGCTCAGATGTGGAAAATGCTAAAGAAGTTCACCAATGTCAACCACTCGTGCCCCTTTGTTGTAAATATTTTAACTAAATTATTGTGTAAGTACGGAAATTTAAAAACTAAATTTAATTTTTCCAGGGTCACATGTTTGCCCGCGACCTGAACTTGGAACATTTTTTACTTCCACCAACAATGCCCACGGGCAACTTTTTGACCATTATTAACTTTATGGAAAGACTGCCGAAAGGCGACAGGGTTTCTTATGGCGTGGTGAAGATGTATTATATGGTTAATCAAAAAGAAATTAATTAAAATTTAATTTTTTAAATGAATAAAATAATTTCTTTTGGACATTGTATTCGTATTGGACGATTCTATCTTAAGAACACGGTTACTTTTTGGGAAGTTTTCTGCGCTGAAATATTATAAAGAGCTTCAAACTATTAAACTAAAATTTAGACTAAAAAGCTTGCAGGCTTTCAATATATTCAATCATATTCAATTTTTGTGAACTAATCGATGTTTTTAAGCTTCAAATAGCAATATATATTTTTAGATCATTAGAAGTCTTTATAAATCGATTATCATAATTATGATTTCCTTAAAAACTGTAAAAACAATCCATGGTTAATGGCCTGTAGAAAAACTAAGCGTTCAAACATTTTGAATTATGATACGGGTTTCAAAAATATCTCATATACTTTATTTCAGGGTTCACATTTCAATGTTAAGGTGGTTTTTTACATAAATATGTGTCCCTGAATTATTTTCTTTAAGTGTACTGCAAGAACTAATAATATTGAGGCTCTAGCAATGAGCAATGAACCTCTAACACAATCCTGAGATCAACATCAAAAGAATACTAACAACGAATCAATTTTTTTTCTTTTCAGATATACCTTAATGGTCTTAAGAAGAATTTTCTTAATAAGTGTCAACAGTTTTTGATCAACATGAAATTAACTATTCGAAAAGTTACGGTGATGTGATTACAAAGTGTAGGAATTCAGAAATCAATCCCAGAGGAAAAGCTAGCTGCGAAACAGAACTAAAGGTAAGTTTTTATTATTATACAATGAGCCCTTTACAAAGCCCTTGAAATAGTACTTTAATTTAATTTGTTTATACCCCTATATATAAAAACTTTTTCCAAAAACCCAAGCTAAATAATTCTTAAAAATTTGTGGTTTGGCATAACAATTAGATTTTTATTAAAACATTCAGCCACACATTGCATGCTAATATTAGGGGATCTGTAACTTAGTCATATAATATATTACAATGAGCAAACTCGGATACCCTTTGGGGTCCCTAGAAAAGACAGAGAATTAAGGGAGAAAATTGGGGGAAGGATCTAGTTATATATTTACGATACAAATTGCACTACATTTTAAGGCTAAGGGAAATGAGAGTGGAGCTTGGGGGAAAACTAAAATTAATATCACAATTGAAAATGGGCATTACGGACTAGACCAACAAAGTGCTGTGGTGATGCGGGGTGGATCTCTCTGCAGGAGTTGGGGATCTTAAAAGTATCCGAAGAAGTGCTTCGATCATTTGGGCATTCCGCCCATTCGGCGACCAGGCGGTGTTCCACCCACCACATTAATGATCTCGTTATCTCCAGCAGCTGCTGCAGCAGCGGCGGAGGAGGAGGAGGCATCCTCCAGCTGCGGCTGGTGATCGCTGGCCTTATCCTGGTGAGCGGTCATGTGCCGGGTGAGATGGTGCCGTTCCCGGAATGTCTCCTGGCAAACGGGACACCGCAGCTTCTCCTCTCGCTTACGACGATTCGGATCACAGGCCACCTCGCTCTTGTGATGGGATCGCATATGGTACACCAGATCGCTGGTCATCCGGAAGCTAATGTTGCACTTGGCACACACATTCTGAGCCGTCAGCGTAAAGGTTGATGCCAAGGTGGGTGGAATCAGTGTTGAGAGTATGGCCGCCGCAGCGGGATTCTGCAGTGGCTGAGCCACGGCAAAGGGATGCGGTGGTGGTGCAAATCCCGGATAGGCGGCATGCAGAAACTCCGGCGGTGGACCTGCTGGCGGTGACGAAGGATTCCCCGGAAGCGGTCCGCCGCCATTGGGATTCCCACCCGCAGGTCCCGGAGGACGTGTGTAGAGCAACTGCTGTTTAAGCCGTTGCTGGGCCTGCAATGCCTGCATGGGATTCACTGCCTGAAAGGCTCCATTAAACTGATACTCTGGCCGGAAGTTGTGGTACACAATGGGATTGGCTGGCAGGGAAGTCTGCGGGTTCTGGCCACCACTGTTGGTCCTTGGAGGTGGTGTTACCAACGGTGGACTTATTGAGTGGCAACTCAACTGATCCGGACTCAAGGGCGGAGCTACCACATCCACTGGCGACTCCAAACGCGATGTAGTCGATGGCGACGAGGAGGCAGTGGACAGTGACGAGGAGGCCACCTTGGTGAACGCACTCCGCATGGGCGGTGGCGGTGAGGTGGATGCTGGTGCCTCTGGGGAATCCACCAAAGGTATAATTACACTGGGATCGTCATAGACCCGCGGCGAGCGAATGCTGATCTGTGGATACCGCTGGCGGGCCTCCAGTAGGCTAATGTACTCCAAGGCCGCCGGTGAGGGTGGCTGTGAGGATGCTCCACGCGGAGATAAATCCGTGGGGTAGTGGTTCATCTGCTGTTGATGCTGCTGCTGCTGGTGGTGGTGCTGCTGCTGCTGTTGTTGGTGGTGATGATGCTGCAGCAGTGCCTCCTGGAGGCGAGCCTGCTTCTCCGCCTGCTTTTGCTTGATCCGCTCGTCGGGCATCATGAGAAAGGCCACATCAAAGGCTCGCTTCAAGGTGGTCTTTCCACCAGCCGAAGGCGATGTGGGAGTCTCATTATTATTATTGTTATTATTGTGATTGTGGGAGTTCTGTTGCTGTGCTGGTGGCTGCTGCTGTTGATGCTGCTGCTGCTGCTGCGGCGAGGATGTGGAGATCCTCAGCTCGGCATGCTGTGGCGGCGTAGAGCGACGCTGGCCGGGATTCGCGTGCGACGGCATGCTGTCCATCAGCAGATTCATTTTCACTTTCACTAAGTCTTTTTTTGAGTATATATTCGGTTTTCGGTTTTCGGGTTGACTTTCACTTGGTCTCAGGCTGTTGTTGCTCGCCTCTCGAAGTTCCAGTTTCGACTGCTGGCCGCCCGCAATCTGTTCCTCTTTAAGTACCCGCCAACTGCCACCACCGCGTCCAGTTGGAACTCCCGACTGCTCATATTGTCCCATTCAAATGGGAACAGCCACTCTCTGTACTTGGCCCATCTGTCCTGATTCTGCTCGGAGTCTGTTCAGATTCAGGTCCTGCAGAGAGCAGTTCGAGTAGTCACCACCCTTATGTTTCAGCTCTCGCTCTCGCTTGCTCTCTCTTGCTCTTCTTTTCTCTCAAACTACCCTTCTCTTTCTCCCGGGGCTCTTTCTCGCTCGCTCTCTGGAGTCCATCTGCTTTGCCAGTTGGCAAACATATTCTGTGGTTTTATTGTGCCAGCCACGGCCAGGACGAGTCCTGGTTGGCTGGACAGGTTGGTTTGCTCGAAAAGTTTCAACATTGCAACATTATGTATGGCACAGTGGGTTGGAATGTGTAAAGGATCTGCAAAGGATTTCAAATTTAATTGTGATCTTGTATAACTCTTTTACCTAAAACCATTCCAGAATAGTGTATTGAACCGTTTTTCTTGGGATATGTTAAAAGTATGCTGCGAAATATTTTTTAGAAGTGATATTTGTGCTTTGGTTATTATAGAAACCTTAGGATTCAGTGGATTCTGCTTTAGTAATTCTGTTTCTGGATATGATGGCAATAACTTTTAGACTCCTTATCAAGGTTGGATCATCTTCTCCCGGTCTTCTGATGATGAATTTCCAGCAATCTCATCCAGAGTCCAGAGCAGCAATAACGAGAGTAAAACAAATGCCAACCGGTCGCTTATGTTCACTTCGTTGGACTGATTATCGCAACGTTTTTGAAACATATATATATTCCTTTTATATACATATATATAAATATATTTAAATTTATATGTAGTATATATACCATTATTAATGATATTTAAATTATTATCCATTAAAATTAGCATCATAATTAGCATTATTCAATCAAAAGTCATTGAATATTATTATTCTATCACAATGCGAACTAATGGCAAGTTTTTTTTTATGGTGGGGACATAGAATAATTAATAATATTGATAAATGTAAAGAAAATTTCATTTAATTTAGGCAAAAGGCAGATTAAAACCCAAAATTAAAAACAAATACAAAAGCGACATAAAGTAGGAAATAAATAATTTTAGGTTTCAAATTTTGACTATAAATTTTTCACTTTAGGACATCAACTTAATTGAAGTAAATTTCAAACAAATACCTATAGGAAGCCTAAAATTTCTGGCTTTAAAAAAATAGTATTTATACATATTTCTAAGCACAACTTGGCGTGTTGTAAAATTAACATAAATACCTTAAGAAAGTCTGTTTAATTTTAAAATGAATTGTTTCGATTTCTAGTTAATAATTCCCCTAGATCCTTTGATCCTTTCACCACTGTTCACCTTTTGCTGTGCAGGAAACTTTTCGAAAATGGGCGGCGCTAGATCCTGGCCCACTCTCTCGCTCTCTCCTTGTCGCTCGCTCCCACCCCCAGCATGTCCTGCTCTCTCTCTCTCTCTCTCTCTCTCTCTCTCGATTCCCTTCTAGCTCTCTATCTCTGTCTCCGCCTGGCATTGATATCCTTGTTGCAAGTGTTTCCGAACAGGTTGTTTTTGTCGATTTTTTAGCAGGGAGAGAGGAGCTCTGTTGGCGCGATTGTCTGAATATGTGTCCATGTTTCGTGTGGTATTTGTTGCTGCCTGCCGGGCTGTTGGATTTTGAGTATATGCTGCCCGTAGTCTTTACATATTGCACACACCCGAATATCAGAGAGAGAGAGAGTGAGAGAAGGGGTTTCCCCCATCTTTGATATTTTGTTGAGCGCCGAAAGATTTCACCGGGCTGCAATATTTATTTGTCAGTTAAGCTTTGCTATATGTGTGGCCAGTAAATATAGTAGATACATATATACTGCGATGCAACAATAGCAAATTGTGCAATGTTTTCCGTTCGTTTTCCGTCCCGTTCTGTGCCATCTTTTATTTTACCTTTTTTTTTTTGGGCCAGACCTCAGTGTCCGGGCAGACCGGATGTGAGGATGTGGCCATTGCCAGGACAAAATATGTGTCTGTTATGGCCACGGAGAGACACACACACAGAGAGAGAGACTCCTGCACACACATTTTATTTAAATTTCCCTCCTTTTGTTGCATTTCCATTCGTTTTTGTTTGCTGTTTTGCTTGTCTGCTGCAGCGGCAATTTAATGTTTGCATATTTTCAGGTGCTAATTGTTCCACTTGCCATATGAGTTGCATTTTTAATTAATATTTATGGTCCTCCCTCTGTGTGTGTGTGTCCTGGAGCCTATAATTCGCCTGGCCGCCATGTTGGCTGTCGACGAAATTAATATTAAACACATGATTGCCTTCGGCCATGGTCATTTCATTAAAAATATTGTTTAGTTTGTATTTAATTAATTGCCGATCGAACAACCAAAGCAGCGGCCATAAGCTGATGAGATTAAAAAAATTTATGTATATATACCAATAAATTAGAGAAAAGCATAAATTATTTGTTGTCTCTAGTGATTATAAATCACTTTAGTTTATGTCTAAAGCCATGCAATATTTGGTAGTTTGTAGGATAATAACTTTATAGGTTTTAGCTCTTAAAACTACATAATTATAGTGTTGAAAGTACAATTTACAGTGGTTATACACATTTTATAAAATTATTTATAAAAATTACATTATTCAGGGCTTCCATATACCAACACACTTTATAAATATATTTCTTAAATTAAATAAATTCAGGGGTTTCATATAAATTTCTTAGGATTCAAAATCAATTGAATAACGAATAACATTTTCTTTGCTCTTCTAAGTTGTTACATTTTTAGACACTATTTAATTGATTTTTAAATTGAAAGCGATTTCGGTGACTATTCCACAAATCGAACTTATAACTATTTAAGAATTTGTAAAGTACAAAAGTTATAAGCTGTAAACAAAGAGGCATTCAGTATTATTTTTCTTAATTTCTCTACTTAACAAATGTTAACTTAAACCACATTGAACTGATAGATCTTATCTTTTCTATCCAATTTTCCCCAAATATATTACCAATCTTTGCTATTCACAATTAATTAACCCCAATTTGAGTTTCCTCTCCTCATTCAATGGAAAACCACATATGTGACACGTGACCGGCATTGTACAAAGTCAAGTGAAAATCCTAAACACATTCCATATTCTATAAATATTTTTGGTGGATATATTAACCCAAATCTCTGATATACAAATCGAGCAGGAAATTTTCACTAAAACCCGCCGAAGGCTTATCTACCCCTGCTGATCTTTGCGCAATCACAACTATATACATATATATATTATATATATATATATGGATAAAGGACCAAGGAAAGGGGAGGATTGTTTGGTTTTGCGACTGTCGATACATCAACCTTCATTGACAAAGTGATTCCCTGTTGTCAGGCTCAGACGAAGCGCAAAAAGGCGTGAAATTGCCTTTGTGTGATTAAGTCAAACCCCATGAAAATCCGTAGAATGAGGAGTAGAAGGAAGTGTTTCAGGAAGCACATTAAAAACTAAGATGACAATCTTTTGACTAGAGTTTAGACTGCAAAGCTACGTGCTCCTTATGCCGCCTTGGCGTGGCAGCGACATCCTTGGTGGTTTTCAATTATCCTTGGCGTGAGATAGCGAAATGTAAATGCTTCAACTTTGGTCCTATGGAACAGGAGTCCTTGCTCTGTTTGTTCCGGAGACAGCAGACACCTTTTCCATGGAGATTGTGTTCTTGGTTGATGTTAATGCGCCGCCTGTCTACCGTAATCTGTGTGGTTTGTGTGGATATTCAGAAGGAAACAGCTTCTAGCCGCCTGAAACTCTCAGCTCTTGGCTTACACGGTGGGAAAATTAGATTGAAAATCTTTAGTTTTAAATATTTTAAATATAGTTTGAAGGTTAATTGTCAGGAAAGGGATGTAATAAGTATACATATAATATTTAATTATACCTTAGACCTTGACAAAGCTCATACATATAGTTTCTTAGCTCAATTTAGTTGTGCGAATACTACAAGTTTCTTTGGAAATTGCATTCTGCCAAGGTCCTGAGTCCTGCGACCTGCTGCCTGCTTCCTGCACTTGCCAGCACCCCACACAGCCCTTGGAGAATGAAGTGTCCCTGGAGTGCCGGGCAAACTAGAACTCGAGCTGAGCCCTGGTTCTGGATCCAATCAAGTGCTTTTCGCGCATTAAATAAAAATTCGAATTGGATTTCACGTGAGAGCAGGGCAGAAAGAACCTAATTGTCTGAGGGTTGGAGGGCTTGAGGGTTACTGCAAGTTAGGATTTTCGGTTTTGGAAACTGGAACTGGAACTGGAGTATTCAGAGGGTTGTTTTGCCCCTGTTGCTGTTTGTTTAAATACCGTGAATAACATGTGGTTTTTTCCAAGCATATGGCAAGGACTTTGTCACTATTAAGGAGCCACGGCTCGTCGTCGTTGTCCTCCTCCGGCTGGCAAATCCTCCAATTAGACTGTCATTCATTTAAACGGATTAAAAACGCGCGAATGAGGGTCGTCAGATGCTAACAAGGCGATGGTTGGTGGTGAGCTCTTGTGGTGGCCCCGGGGCTAGGTTAGTCTCCTGTCCGGATTAGAGCTCTTGTTTTGGTTAACAAATCGGCTGATGACGATGGTGCTCTCGTTTCGGGTGCGTTTCCCAATCCCCAGCTTCGCCCAGTCCCAATCAGTTCGAGACGCACATTCGCCCGCAATCAAGCCGCCGCACTGGCATTTCTGCTGTCATATGCAAAACGGCAACGAGCAACAACTGCACCTGGTCTGGAGGTGGGATGAATCTGACTCTGATTCGATGGCTTTATCTAAAATGCTTACGCTTGAGAAGCTCTCAATCGAATGCGGCATAAATATTTATGCGCCTCGGTTCGACTATATGGAACAGCTTCCCCCATCCTCAGCAAACATACCACAATTCGTAAACTCGTAAATCGGAAACGCAGCTCGCAACAGTTGCCAAGTGTTGGACTCCGGGCTCTGGTTCTGGTTTTTGGATAGCCATAATGTCAAGAGTCCTCTTCCCCCTTTCAAGTGGGTCAGGAACAGGAACATCCACTTCCAGGTTCTTCAAGTTTTTGCAGGGTGTTGGGACGAGACTTGCAGAATTTTTAGTAAGCTTTGCTGGGTTTTAAAAGAGATATTTTGAAGGGTTTTATGGGGAATAATATATATTAATATATATTTAGAAATATATCATAATAATGATGTGCTTGTTTCAATGATAGTTTTTTAAACGAAATTATATTTAACTTGTTATACTATAATTCTTTCTTACGTCTAATAATTTGAAAATTTGTTAGTAAATTCTTTAGGAAACATAATTTAAAAAATATCAATATAGTAACCACCTCAAATGCAACTACATTCTTTAATAAACCCTAAAGGGAACATCCAGATCGGTGCTTAAAAAGCCCTCACATTTCCACTTGTAAAACATATTCATAAGAAAAACATGCAACATTTGGCGGATGTGCAGCGTATGCTCAACGAAGCTGCACAAATGAAGCGACCACCAAGTCACCACCAGGCGACACCGTCATTACCACCAGTTGCCACCACCTTGGGTCCTGTTCCTCTGGGCTCTTGGCTCTCCGGCCAACTCGTCCTCCCTCAACTCCGGGATGACCCGCATTTAAAGTTGCTCAATACGTTTTCTGGTGCCATAAATTGTGACCTCCCTGTTGTGTTGTCCTATTGGAACCTGTTTCTCTGTGTCTCTCCATCTGACAGGGATTCGGAATCTGCTAGCGAAATCAGATCTAATCAGTCCGGAATGCAGGGCATAGTTCCAATTGCAGGGACTCCAACTGTGCGGTGCTCGGAAATGATGAAAACTACCCTTTAATAGAGTGCGTTTGTTAGTTGTCCTCGTGCCGAGCAAACATCTGTGCGATTTTTATATGGATACAGAGAGAGAAAATTGGTTTTCTATAAGAAATAGTATGAAACTGGGTTATTTATAGATAGATAGATATTAAGGGAAAATAAATAGAAAAAGTAAGTCATTTCCTCTAAGAATTGGTCAGGAAACATATTATTCTGCAGGCAACATAAAGATTAAATATCAAAATGATAGGTTAATTTAAACATTAAGGTTGGTACAATGGTAAAACACAAATGAATTTGAATAATATTTAAAAAGTTAATCATTTTATGTATTAAACTTATATAAAACATTAAAAAATAATCTTGATACTTTCAACTATTCTACAAATATAACAGAACGTTTCCATTGTTCAATGATGTAAACCCATTCCAAGGATCACCCTATTTCTCCCGGTGTCCCAACAAGGACTCTCTGAGGATACTTTACTCTTGCCCAGCCTTCGTTCAGCATTTAAAAAGTGTTTAGTTTATGGTCCATTGATGGCTTTGTTAACTCGCCGAACACTGCACTCCCAACTCAGAACTCACAACTCCCAATTGCCAACCACTCCTCATGAATTGTGAATCCTGAATCCTGAATCGCAACCCCGTCCGGGGGACACCTTACGTTTTTCGACGTTTACGATCTGTCCGGGGCGGTGCCGAAAATGGAGGGTTCTTTATTCCATTCTCCGTCTGCCTTTAATTATGCTGAAAACCACAAAATGCTGTTAGTGCAGCGTTTTTCGATTCCAATTTGAAAAAATGCTGACATATGCGCGGAAAAATGCGCTGCTCTGCGGGATGCTAACCGGGTTTCTCTGGTTCCCAGTGAGGAGTACACAGTTTTCCCAGTTTCCAGTTTTCCCCCGATCCCTAGGGTGCCTTTCGGTCTTTGACTCTCTGATTGGAACTGGTGCATCACCGGGGCGATAAATATCTCCGACTGGTCTGGTCTGACCTGGTTGGTTGCCATAAAGTCGAACAGACTGACAAGTGAGTTGTCGATCTAATGTGGCATCAGCATATGCTGGTCCCTTCGGGCATATATCCATTCATCCAAATCCAGACAGCCGTGCTCCGATCAGTTGCGGTTGTACCAAAATTCCCAATTGACTTTATTTTAGATGAAGATCTATTTTTTGGATTTGAAATGAAATGCCATTAATTTGATAGGAATCTTTTATAAGATCTACTTTTAGATGAGCTTAAGGGTCTGGATATCTATCTTACAGATCTTGAATATCTTGTTTTAAATATAATGAATACTTAAAGAGGATGAATTTCACGATTTTCAATACTGATAATAATTAAAAAGAATAATACAATTATTATTTACAAGTTCTAGACTGCACTTAGTTATAGTTTAACCTTATTTTTAGGACTTATCTGTAGTTTATTTTATTAATATTTAAAGAAGAGTGTTTCTACCGTGATTAAAGTAAATATTTTACTTATTACAATTGTGTACAATTAAAATAATTTGTTTTACAATGTTACGGTTTAAAGGTATTTTCATACGAACAAAATATATAATTTAATTGAGTTACAAATGCCATATAGGTATTGTTCATATAGCAAAATTTTAATATGTATAAATTCAGTTATATAATCAATTCGCAATGTAAAGTTTTAATATTTGTATGTAGTTATATAGGATATGGCTTAAACGAAGATCCTAAGATTACTATATTTTAAGTCGCTTGAAACCGCCAAACTTTGCATTATTTACAGGATTTATTTTATTTTTATCCCTTATCAGAATAATACCTATTTTTCTTTAACTCTCAAGCCAAGCATTGCTCCTCTTTGCTCTGATAAAAAGACAATAATTTATGTGGCTTGTGGGCTCATTGAATTTTCATTACATTAGTTTGCCTGCATTATCATATGTAATGACTTCGATTCGTTGATTTTTCGTTTGCCAGCAATTCGGGAAGTTCTGCAAACACCTTGAACAAATATTTTACTTGCTCAGCTTTTTATTTTCCATTCGCCTGGCTGTTGATTTTCCGAAAATCGAATCTTGAATTAATCATGCGGAATAAATTTACTCTACATTTGCAAACACAAAGTCTGCCTTAAACGAAAAATAATTGTGGAAAAAAATAAAGAGAAAACCAGAAAGAGATATGGTATCCACTTTTTGGTTGGTATTTCTCCTGATTGCTAATTGCATTAAAATTGCCATTTCATTTTCTGCGATTGCCTCACGCGGATAAATAATATTCTATTTTATTTTTCGCCTCGCTAAAAGCCGAAATCGAATGCGAAAACAGTTGAATTTATGACAGGCGGGCAAGATTTACGCTTCTATTAGATCGCTGGAGAGTTCAATAACTTTTTCGGGGTGGATTAGAGAGCATAATTCCATTGTCATGGTAATTTATGAGCTTAGTTTCCATTGTTGTCACTGTGCTGCTGCGAGCCGCTTTTCCAGCTTTGCACATTTTTGCAACATTAGCGCGGAATTATGGCATCCATTACGTAGAATTCGATTCTCCCATATGTGCTGCTGATGCTTTGAAAAACATTCAAAATATTCCTCATATGTCGATATGTCGATGCCGCAAATGGACTTTGGCAATTACATTAAACGCTTGCCAAATCTTCCTTTTAAAACTGGGTCACACTTTTCAATTGGGTGTTAAGTGGTTGATAGGTTTTTGGTCGTCTATCGGTGTCTACTTAGCGGTTTACTTATTACATATGCGCATATTTTAATAGAGACCGAGTTCCCAAAAAGGGGGTTAGTTCTTGCCATCGTCTTGGCCTTAATTCCTGGTGTAGATTTAAGCCAGAAGGGTGGAAGTATTGTCCTGATTTTCATTTATTATCTTTCCAAAACAAATTGATTTTGTGATATATTTGTAGTTTTTCCATCTTCGATTAGAATATTAATAAGCTGAACAGGTTTATATTTTATAAATATATACTATTTACAATTTATGAAAGGGTTCCATAGAATTTGACCGCTGCTCGATGAATATCATAGGCAAACCAATTGGTTTCCAACATGTAATCGCCTTTGGGAAATGGAAGAATATTTGACAATCGATGATCGATATATGTGACTGGCACTTTATCAAATGTTGCATCATGCTAAAACAGCAATAGAAACTTAATATTTAAGTTAAGAATAAACTAAAGTAAACTTACACTATAAGGACACGTATGATTTATGTTCGAATAGGGTTCTACTATATCAAAAAAGAACTTTACTACAGGGTATTTTTTCCGATTTCTCTGGAATTTGCAGGCATCGACTGTTATATTGTACAGAAACGGCCTGTATCCATTAAGTCGTTGGTAAATCGCCAAATGAAACTAAAATACAATGTTATCTAAGGTCTTAGAATATATAGTCCTTACCTTGATATCAGTTATGGGATCTTGAAGTAACCTGGCTTTCACAGACATGTACTTGTACGTACGGTTCACCGATTTCAACAAACAATTTTCAAAGTAAACAAATTTTGGATTTAGAGTTTCACATTTGATGTTTGTAAACACAAACGTCGAAGCTATCTAAAGGATGTGTATATTAAATAATTATTAAAATTAATTCAAAGAATACGTACTTCTTTGCATAAATTTAGAACCAAAATGAGTTGAACTAACAACACCATTTTACGGAAAGGCACCATTTCGTAAGATTTGAACTGAACTGATCAGGGAATAAATTGGGACTTCTATATATACATATATATAGTATATATTTGTCTGTCTCTTTACATTATGAACGATTATAGATTTATTAAACGGATAACTAAGCTATTTTTAATTACTTAAAAAAATTGACACTCGTGGAAATTAATGTGAAGTGAAAATTGTGAATATCGTCCTAATTACTTTTTGGTTTCACTTGGAGATATGGGATTCAAGTTTATGGCATAGCGGCCAAAACTATTCTGAGTTGCATCCGGGTCTTCCAAAGCAAGTTCCTGCGGAGAATTACTGGTGCTGAGTGGTTTATTCGTAACATTTACTTAGCGAGGGACCTTAAAGTTCCCTTGTTAGGGGATATTATCAATGAACAAGCCGAACATTACACAAATAAGCTCATGTCTCACCCAAACATTCTAGATAGGAGACTTGCGTCTCGGCGGGCAAGGCGCAGACTTAAAAGAATTCTTCCCTCGGACCTTCCAAGAAGGAAAATTTATTAAACATTAACTAAACTCCCTGCCACTTGTTACACCCATCTTCATCTTCACTAATTCTTACACTTTTGTAATTTTTCAGTGAACTCCTCCGCTCACTATTGTATAAGTTGCTACACTACAGTAACGTACAATAATAAATTCAGCTCAAAAAATATTGAAAAGCTAAAAAAAAAAAAAAAATTTATAATATAGTGAATTGAACTCCAAAGACCCAAGTTACACTTAGTAAGTTATATGGTCAGAGTATACTTCATTCAACTTCTTCTCGTTTCTTCCTAATGAACATTTTATTGAAAATATTTTAAGATTCATTTTTATGAAAGGGTTCCATAGAATTTAACTACGGCTCTTTTAATATCGTAGGCTATCCAATTGGTTTCCACCACGTAATCAGGAAAAGGCAGAACATCTGTTATTCGATGATTAATAAAATCAACCGGCAACTTTTCAAGCACAAGATCCTCCTGAAAGTTAAACTCACATTAAAGGGACAGGTGTGATTAATGTTTGAGTAGGGTTCAACAATGTCGTAAAAGAATTTCATTATTGGGTTCACATTACGATTTAATTGAAACTTGCATACATCCACTGAGACATTGTACATGAATGGTCTATATCCATTGAATCGCTTATACAATAATAAATTAAACTAAAAGAAGATTTAAAATATATATAGTACTTTTTGAAATGATTTTTTACCCTGACTTTGGTGACCGGAGTTTGAAATAGTCGACACTTGATGGACACATATTTGTAGGTTTGATTTACCGATTTCAAATAGCAATGTTCAAAGTCGTTAAACTTTAGGTCATAGGGGACACATTTAACGTTTGTGAACTCAAACTTGGCAGTTATCTAAAATAATATTTTTTTAATAAAATATTTTTTCTTGTAATTAAAACCTACTTCTGGGACTAAATATAAAATAAGTATAAGGTTTAGAAAAGAGTACAGCTTAAATGAAAGTGCCATTTTAAATGGTTTAGACAAAACTGAATTGTTGTAATATTTCTCTGTACATTGTAAACATTAACCATTCGCTTGTAATGATGTTATTAAAAAAAAACACAATCTTTTAAAACGCTTCAGTGATTTGATAATTATATTCATTTAGCTAATATGATTTTAATGAGCTTGGTTTTAATGCTAAATTGACAATTCCAATTACTTAATAATCACAATATATATATGTAGCCGGAAACATTTAAAACTCAAATTGCTCTTCCCGTTTAAGAAATTCTAGTGTTTTGTATTCTTATTATGACTTTCACTATTCATGTTTACTTTGCCAAAGATTAATCACCATGACTGATTTCAATCGTCCCGCTGATAATCCGATTGCCAGCCCTGAGCCCATAGCAAAATACTCAAAAACATATCGAAAATTATATCCACAAATGGTCAGCCGGACGACCCTGAGCCACCCATCACAGCCACCACCAATAAGATTATGATAATGGGCAGGGGACATCAGTCAAAGAGAGGATTATGATCTTGGGAAACAAGTGGATTAAGGGGTTGACAATCCACAGAAACACACATTCAATTGGGGAATGTCCTGTCAGGATTTTGGCTTTTGGGTTTTGCATTTGTTTTTATGATTATGACCGGGATGACACGAAGAGAGTGATGGCTTTTCGTCCTTTTTCTGGTTGTATTTTAGGAAACATTTTTATAAAACAAGAAAGAAACAGATTAAAATTCAATCCCTAGATCTTAATACAATTTAAATTATATATATTTGTGTTAAAAAACAAAAATTTCATTACCGTTTTGCATTGTTCTCTATTTTTAACGATCGGTTGTATGGCAGTTATATGATATAGTAGTCCAATTTTTATAAAATAGTACACAAAATTCTAGATTAATATATAATGGCCACAAATTAAATTTGATGAAAATCTTTTGAAAAGTTATATTTTTTTCTTAAAATTTTCCGATTGTTCCTATGGCAGCTATATATATGTATATATATATATATATAGTCCACCGATTCGACATGCTCCGACTTATATACTAGTAAAATTGTATAGAAGAATAAATTCATAGTTTCATTCAAATAGCTTGCTCATAAATTAGTTCCAAAACAGATCTCGCACATCTGTGCATATGATTCCCAACTGGTTCTATCGTCCCCGGAACGAAGTGACTGCTGCCGGCCACGTCTCAGAAATGTGATGTGTTACAAAAGTTGCAAGTCATTGTTTATTAGTGTTCAAAGTTAGTAACTGATCATACATACTTACTGGTCATAGATACTTACTAATCATATTCACTGACTGCTCATAGTTACTTAATGTTTATTGATACTTACTGCTCTTAGTTAATTACTGTTCATAGTTACTTAATATTGAAAGATTTAACAATAACAACTCTTTCACTGGCAGGTACATATATTATTTAGTTAAACAAAACGTAAGAAATTTTTTAGATTATTGGACGTAGCTCTGTGGGAAAAAAGTACTTGGTAAATAAATCCTTTGAAAATTATTTACCGATAAGAAAATCCCATACTGACTTTAAAGCTAACCCTTCTTAGCTGCCAACACTAGCCGCCAAAAGTAGATGGATGTTTTGGAATCGTTCAGTTCTGCCCTGATCCATTATGGTGTGTTTGCTTCCCCTTTCCCCTTTCGCTCTCTGAAAGCCTGTAACTAATAAGTAAAATGTGTTTTTCGGACTTGTCGCCGTACATTGATTATGATTGGGTGCGAAGAATACAATGAATACAGTGAGTGTATAGTGGTGAGTGCAGGGCCACCCTCTTCGTTGGCAACATTTGTCATAAGGCCAAGACAGTCTCAACAGTTGTTGGCGATTATCATTTTGACAGTTGCTTCTCGCCTGCCATTGTTTCAGTTCCCTTGGCTGCGTTTTGGGCCTTGATTTATGCATTTTTAAGCGGTTCACTTATTGTTTCTGCGCACAAATATGCCCGAAATTGGGGGGTTAGGAGAGAAGGAGAAGAGAGATACACAAAAGCGAAAATGAGGAAATATTATTTGTTTTATAGAATTTAAAATAGTTTTGTATATTATTAATATTAGACTTAAAATATTTTTACTTTAAGTAAAGCTACATATAGCTTAATAGAAGTCTATAAGTATGGCTACAAAATGATTCAAAAAATCGAAATTTATAAGGCATTCTTTGATATTAAATAATATATATTTATAATGCTTCATATTTATATCTTATTTAATATCAAATTTAATTTAATTATATTAAATAAATGTGCATTAAATTTATATGAGGTTCTAAATTCTATTCAATCAAGTAAAGTCTCAGTCATATTTTGAGTAAAACATTCCTTACGAATATACCAAAATACTAAGAAGACCTTAGTTAAATTTCTCGTAATTAATTATTGTAAAATACATATTTTTTTCTGTGCATTTATATCTCAAGATCTCCCAGATACAATAGCAATAGACAGCCCTTTCTCCGATTTTGGCACGCGTAATTTGTTGATTTATTGCACGGCCACCACTGGCACTGCAGGCATCTTCATTAAACACTGCGCTTCCGCTTTTTTGGCCATAATTCGCTTACCGTTGGCGTTCATTATCGCCATCCTTTCCCGGCATTGTCCTTTTAGCCTCGTTTGTCATGCTCGGTGCGTCTACTTAAGTTTTCGCACGCTCCAACGCCTCGGCTTCCTTGGCGCTGCCATTCCGCTTTCCTTTCCTCCCTGTCTCCCCTGGCTGTGAAAATTGAATTGGAAACGTGCTGAAGCGTTAAATGCTCTTGTCTTAACGCTGCGTCAATCCCCCGGCCCGAAGTGTCCATCAGTTCGTCCTGTTCCATGTCCCATGTCCTGTGTTCTGTGTCCTGTGTGCGGCGACATATGAGAATTTGTAACCTCAGCATAAGCTGGTCCGAAGCTCTGGCTTTGCCTTTCCGCAAAACTCCAATTCCGGGCCAAGTTGGTGGGCATAATTAATTCCAAATTGCATCCGCAAAGGATTTACAAGTTTAGTGGCCCAAAATCTTGAGTTTCAGGTGGGTTTTTGGCAGTGCTATGAGATAAGTTGTGCAAATAATTGTTTAATTCTATTTGTTTAGTATTTTCGGTAATTTTAAACGGGGATTATTGTTTAAGTACACTTATTTATGTTAAAAATACAGCGTTCGTAAACCATTAGAATTTTAGAGTGGTTAAGTGGTTGCCTTTCTTTAAACTATTTCAAATCACAAAAATAAAAAAATAATTTAAATAAAAATGCTCAGCACTACAGAAATGTGCTCGACTTAAAGGATAGCCCAAGAAGCTGTGCAAAAGCCATAAAAAGCAATACAAAAAATGTTGATCCACATATATTTAAATAGTAAGAAAAATCGATCCAAATTTTCGCGGGCTTCTTTAAAATCTTATACGTTGTGCTTTACGTCAAACGTAAGACACTGTTGTTTTTTTCACTGCAGATGGAGCCACCACCATGAACAAGCGCCATCTGGCGATTTTAAATGGTATTCTGTACAATATATGATAAGGTTCAGTCAATAAAAAGTAGGTGGCGCTAAGTTCAAGTTAAATGTGGATTCTGCTTAAAATATGGCAACGCTTTTTTAAAATCCTTTTGTGACCTGTTTCTAAATTACTATTTATTTATTTATTGTTACCTGGCATTTCTAATGCATAGAATTATGTTATTCTTGCAAATGTTTAATTATTTTATACAATTTTTACTGTAGCTGTGGGATATCTGTTCCCCACAGTCCAAAAATCCCACACAACGAATTAATTTGGAAGAAAAATAGTATGAATAAAATGATACAAATTATTTTATTATTAAGCTTAACTTTGTCAATCTATATTTTTAGTATTAAATATAAAAATATTCAAAATATTCAAGTTGAAAGAAAAAAACATTATTTCCATCTCCTGTTTTTACTTGCCGCACTTGTCAACCTGTCTTTATGACAATTTCTGGGTTCATGCTGCCGACGGGAAGCAGAAAAGTTGCAATCGAGGGACAAGGGGGAATGGGGCAAGGCGACAGGAAACAAATAGACAAAATGCAAACTTTATTTTTAGTAGTTTCTGGCGCCGCGAATCCTGTAAGTCGGCTACAAAAATGCACAAGCACTTGCACTAACACAATCCTGGCTAAAAACTATGATGATGATGATGATGATGCTGATTGTGATGTTGTTGGGAAGGATAACGTTGTATCCTTGCGACAGTTTCTGTGATTTTTTGCTATGCACTTTGGCTATGCTGCGATACGATGGCTAAATGGAAGTGTCTTGGCAAAATATTTGCATCCGCCTCAATGGGCAAATTTGCGTATTTATTAAACGAACAGATTGAAATTGTTGTCTCTCCTATATATCCCATATTTCCTTTTTTTCTTTCGTTGCTGTTCCCTGGCAAATTGAATTTTTCAATGCAGTTTTGTGGCGCAATTAAAGCGGCCACATTTCCTCTTTTTACGAGCTGTCCTCAAAATGCAGTAAATGCGCTTGGCTTGGAGCCAGCCAGGCGACGGCGATGTCCTGCAAATCCTGGCTGGTGGCCACTGGTCACTGCGCCATGACTGCCGCTCCTTCGCATTACAAATGCCTGTCAGCGGATCACAAAATAGATTGCATTGTCTGCCCGGGAAGGAGAATGTCCTTCTTGGAGGAGATGCGTGGGCGAGTCCTTCGTTTTCCCTTCTCTATTGTGGCATTGCGTTAAAGTTCAGTGACTTGGAAAATCTTTTTCAAATAAATTTAAATATGGAAGTTATGCAAGTTGGTTACTTCATTGGCATGCAAGAAAAAATAGATTTAGTTATTACTGAAGTAATCAATTATTTCGGTTCAGTCAAGTGGATAAATATGCATTTATTGCATGGTACTTGTAGTTA